AATGTTGTGGGACTGTCCTGCTACAATGCTGTATATGATTAGATTTCTGGACTTCTGTGTAAACATACGTAATTCTTTATTACTATTTTTTAAATATATTTTAATTGTTTTCATCATATTCTGTAGGGACTTAAATTTCAACATATCAATACTTGATGAAAAATACCTGCTCCATCTTATGCCTACGATGTTTGATATTCAGACAGATAGTGAGGTTAAGCTTAACAGCCTAGGTTTTATGGTAATAACAATAAGCTTCTCTTCTGGAGGGTTAACAACCTAAGTTTGCAGAACAAAAATTAGAGAAAAAGGAAGGCCGCAAGTAAAGTAACATTTTGGACCTAGTCTTCCAAGGTCAATTAAGACTCAGGACATATGAGAACTTGTACTATAACATCATGTAACTCGGTTGCGTCCCAAGTTTTCTCATCAAGGAGATTATGGGGCCAAAGAGGATAGTGATCGATGATGTAGAGTGTGTCTAAGGAGAGTCACATGAAGAGAAAACATTCTCTCAGGCTTCACAGAGAGCGAATTGGCCAATCAATGGCTGTGACTCATCCACATGGCTGACACTGACAAAGCATCTACAATCTGAGGTACAGGATCTCAGGATAAATCCTGATGGGATTTGACTGACCTTATCAAATCCAAAAGCTACAACTCTTGTAACATAGGTCCTGCTTTACCTTGGTCTTAACCATCCAGCAGAAAAGTATAAAAACGAAGTATAAGAAGCAAAGCCATGCTGTTATGTTGAGCTGTAGGGGACTCAGGTCAATAACTTCTGCCTTTGCCAGTGAAGTGGGAGACCCAATACTATTATGGACTACTGGACTATTTTGGAATATTTTGCTGAATTCACACACCTATAATATTTAAATGACAGAACTAAACAAAAAAGGGGATACAGATGAATGACCATTTTGTATAGGTATGTTCAAAATGTTTAAGATAGATATATAGCTACATTCTCTTAATTCAATGAATAGAGGAATTTGTTTTAATAGTGTTTATAAATAGGATATCATGTCTGCATCTTGTACAACAAATAGCCACTTGGAAGACAGTATGCAGTGTGTTAATTATTAAAACTGTCCTACCAATTTGATTTGAAACAGTCCCTTTGCTATTTGTTTCTCAATAAAATTATGGAAAAAAATAATCAATTCAGTAGTTCACAATAAAAAAGGCTATGACATACATTGTTAACTTTGCTCCAGAACAATGTGACAATTTGTTAAATCTAAATGTAAATAATAATTTCAGGGTTCTGCCAAATAGCTCAGTGGATTAAAGTAACTGCTTAGGCCAAACACATTGGCTGGGTTCAATACCCTGCATGACATGCTCGAAGCTGCATTTTGTGGCTCCTCCTGTAATCCCAGCTCTTTGGAAGACCGAACACAGTCAGATCACTACAAGTCTGATCTACATAGTAAGACCCTGTAGACCCTATAGTCTCTTACTAAAATTTACAAATAATAGTAATAATAATAATAATAATAATAGTAATTTCAGTATTTCAAACCTTATTGGCTTGGGTTGGTTATGTTAGGATAAATAAAATTTTGTATACTAATAAATTTATATATTTATTTCATCTTTACTATGTTTCTATATCGGGAGTTTTGTTTTCATTTTTATTTTTTGACATTTCTCTTTTGAAAGGAAAACAAACTGCTCAAAAGGGAAGAACGACTCAGATGAGGGGAAGAGGAAAAGAAAAAAAAGAAGGGAAAGATACATACAGCTACAAGATAGCTGAGATAATTTCACTACTAATTTCTATTGGTTCATTGAAAGGAGCAGTCAATGTGTTTTTAATTTATATTAATTTAGGACAGGGTCTACAGGGTGTACAGGTTCTCACCACATAGATGGGACTTCTAATGATTCTCCTGTTTTTAGTCTCTGAAGTGCTGGGATTACAGATGTTCACCACCATGCCCAGTCTCAATTGCCATCTCAGCGTGCCCTGGGGAGTGGGCCTGGAACCGCACCCCAGGGATCAAACCCCGGCTGCTGCACCAAAGCAGGTGTTTTAGTCTGCTGAGCTAACTGGCCAGCCCAAAGCTTAATTTTTTGACCAGTTTTACATGGTTGTTTCTGGTAATCTGAAAGACTACTTTGAAGACAACAATATGCAACATAACAACAATTGTTGAATTAAAAAAGAAAACACTATTGGGCTTACATTTATACTGGGATGAAATTAGTAAATATTCATTTGGTGTTTATAATCTTCAAGAAGTAGTATTTTTAAGTTGAAAGATACAAGTCAAGAGTGCAGTAAAGTAGGTGGTGAGAAGATGGGCCTCCACCATGCCATTTTTCCACTTTCCTTTATATTTGAAACTTTAAGAGCTGGCAAGATAATTCATCAGACTAAGTACCTATGTAGGTAAGTGCAGGACCGGGATTTGATCCCTTGTACTGCATGTTGCACCAGCCTGGCCCCAGGCCACACTGAGCTGGCAATTGAGTCCAGGTGTGGTGGCATACACCTATAATCCCAGTGCTGGGGAGGCTGAGAACAGGAAGACCAGTATGAGTACGATTTGCATAGTTAAACTCTGTACCAAATACATTAAAAAATAAAAAAACTAATAATAAATAGGTCGGGGAAGAGAATCAAGGACACAAAAAATGAAATACTCTGAAAAGTGAGGCAGTGAAAGAACAGGATTCCTGGGGAAGTATGCCGTGTGGTCTTCCTTGTTTAATTCTCCCTCTTAGGTCCTTACACATGCTCTCCGGGAGCTGCACGCAAGTTGTGTTAGAGCCTCCTCCTCATGCGGAAGGTGGCCGGCCCGAGTTCGGTCCCTGCCGACACAGGAGGCATATGGACCCTGCCACCACCTCTTTGCCCATGGACGCTTCCTCTGACCGACTGACCAGTGCCCAGAATTTTCTTCCTTTTATGTTTTCTAAGCCTGACTTGCAAAAGCCCCTTTTCCTACTCCATCGTCCTCTTACCCCATTCTTCTTGTCCTAAGTCGAAGTTGCTCCTTTGGGAGCAACTCACATCTCCTCGACTGCAAATTTTTGCATTTAACAAAACTCACACTGGGAACATTGACCTATTTCAGAATTTCACATAAATAGAAAGTGAAGTTTTCAGGTAAAAGTTCTTCTTTTAGACCTCATAAAAGAACACATCTATATTCCTAGTTGTTCTGTCTTTTAATCAGGAAATTATGTACCTTCTAACTTTACTTTTAGTTCATGGTGCAGAAGATCAAACCCAGGACCTAACTTTTACTTGATAAACACTGCACCACCGAGCTACACACCCAGCCCCTAAGATGATCATGTCTTGCATAATGCTATTTTACATTCATTAATAAGACTTCCTCCTTCCCTCATGAAATATACAGAAGGAGAAAAGTCCTAATATTGTTTCTCAGTGATGTTAATGGACAATTATACCCATCTGGAATGATGAAACACTGCCAAGACCTACAGACAAATCATAACGTATTTTCCACAAAGACTATTTTTAAATAAGTCAGAAAAAAAGAGGAAAATATTAGTCTTCAAATTCAAGTAGATTTTGTCTTATAAATCCTAATCATTATTTATTTATTTATTTATTTATTTTTCTTGATTTAATTTCAAATATAAATAGGCTTTATGATCAGTACTAGTACTACATGCATTATCTTTTATGAAACAAAGTACTTATTTTGCCATAATTTACAAAATACTCAATTTTGGGCTGGTAAGATGGCTCAGTGGTCTAAAGCACCTATTTAGAACAAGCTTAACAAAGCACAGGGACCGCGGTTCGATCCCCCAGCACCACATGCCAGCCAGCCCTGCCCCCTGGTGGGCTGAGCTGGCCACACACACACACACACACACACACACACACACACATAAATAAAATAAAAAAAAAAGTATAAAAAAAAACAAAATACTCAATTTTAAGTAATAATTAGTGAAAGCATAGCTAAAAGTTGTGCTTCTCTTTCATATTCAATACAATAAAATTTATTTCCTCTAATAACCTTTATTTTTATTTAATATCGATAGACAGATAGATACTGTGTCAGTCAGAGATTTACTAGAGGAACAGATATAACACAAGGTGTACAAATTTATAAGAAATTATAAGATTGGCTTATGACGGTCTGCTACAGAATCAGATGAGAAGTGTGCAGAAGGCATGACAGATAATTGGGAATATGGACAGATAGAAAATAAAATCTGTAGGTAAGAACAACCTATAGTACTTTATGATATAGGCAAACTGAGAGAAAATAAACCAGAGGGGACATATTTGGATTTATAGGACAAAAATGAGCCCTAAATGTGTTGGGATGCTTTATACTGAACATACATTGCCATTTTTTTTTTCTGGATCCCGGTGGTGTTTGCCAAAAGAATTTAGGGAACATCATTTCTGTTGATTAGAAAGCAAACAGAGTGCCAAATATATAAAAATAAATGGGATAAGCTCAAGTTAGTTTTGTTTTAAAGATCTGAAGTAGGCTGAAAATGAGAGTGCTTTGATGTGGCAGAACCAACGGGGACAGTTTTGTGACCTTGCTCAAGTCCTGAGGAAGCTGGGCTCATTAGTGATTTTTGTATGAACTTGTGTCAATGCCCAACACTCAACAGAAGCTTGGTAAGCTGTTTTGGGAAGGAAACCTACTACAGTACTACCAATGCCATGCTGAGATGAATCTGCAGGTTATGGACTGCAGCAACAGATTGTGAGCTCAGAACTGGAGGCTGGAGGTGGCCATGTGGGCCCATCTACAGCCCAGAAAATTATACTACCTTTATCTTTCCCATTAACTCTATAACTTTTTTCCTTATTTGTATATATCAATTTATTCTACATTATCAGAAACCAGTCCTAAGATGCAATTACTTTTGCCACTTTGTGAAACATATTAAAATTTTCTGTCCCATGAGAGGAAGTTAAGGACAAAAAAGCAGCTTTAGGAAAGATTTAAAATCTTTTCTATGTATGAAACCGTATTACAAACCTGAAAATAGAGATTGCACAGCCAATGGTCCAAGTCCAAGCAAATCAAATCTTCAATTTTCCTGAAACTGTTGAGTTTCTGTTCATAATGTCCTCGGAGCAGGGGAGACTTGAATTTTCCCTCCACAATGCCGAAAGTGCCATCACACAAAGGAAACACTGCCCAGCCCACAGCCTGATGGATGCCACCAGATGTCCCAGGAACGAGAAACAGTTCAAAGAGGAGCGCTAGGCCAGGTTTTACATCTTTCCTTTGAGGGAGTTCCTAGAGAGATGTTAAGACAAGGGAGTATTGGGATGTTTGTGTTTTTAGAAACACATCATAGTAGGCTGATAGACAGTTCAGAATTGGGTAAAAAGTTGTTCTGTTCTCCTGTTGTTGGCCTTAAAAATGCACCATTGCAAGAATTTACATAAATAACCTTTGCAGCCCCACATAGTTAGGCAATCACACCATCATGAAAGTGTAACTCAGACAAGAAAAATTAGCCCTGACAGTTCCAGATTCTGCATGCTGTGAGCTTTGGAAATCAAGACTCACATGCTAACATGGCGCTTTGCATTTTCAGTCCTTTTGCCTGAGCTGGTACATCTAGTGTTGCTATAGATGTTTGAGTGTGTCCCCGAAGAGCTCATGGGCTGGAAACTCAAAACTCTAATTCATGTATTAATGGTGTTTGAGGACAGGCTTCTGAAAGTAATTAGAATTGGATTCGATTATTGGAGTAGGTTCCCAAGAAGACAGAGTGGATTTACAGAAGCAGGAGGAAGGCCGCAGCTAGCACACATGCTCTGCGTCGCTGTGCGCTGCTCTCCACGGTGCTATCACTTAGCAAGAAGACCCGCACCGGACGCCACTGCCATGTTCTTCAGCTTCTCACCATCCAGAACCAAAAGCTCCATTAACTTCTATTGTTTTTATATTATGATGTCTCACCTATTATGGTATAACAGAAAACAAAGACAATTGTACAACTATTTCTGCCTTCCACTGCAGTCACTGCTTAATTTGCTTGCTATTGATGCTTGCGCCGCACATCTACAGCCCAAGTGCTTTGCATACAATGCATGCCTTGTGAAAAGTAGTTGAACTAACCATCACACTCCAGAAAAACTAATCCTTCTTCTAATGGGCCCCTGAACAAGAACAGCAAAAAATAGAGTTCTGTTTAATTTTGTGAGGACTCTGTTCCTGTAGACACTGTAATGCACGTCACTGCCTGAGCAATTTGTCAGTGCTAAATAAATAGCACTGAGTATAAAGATGAGTGGCTCTTGCATTGACAAAGCCACTGTTCCAGGGCCCAGATGTAGAGATGGAACCTGTTGCTTAATCTTTTAAAAATCTAGAAAACATAAACCATGAATAATCTTTTGGTTTTTTTTAAATTGCAGAGTTCACTTCAGTTTTTAAATTTTGTGTAAATAATTTTAAATGGACAAAGATAGATACTTTCTAAGCCTATATTGCAGTATATTTATCTAAAAGTGCATGAATATATTTTGTGCGGTTTACGTAAGTATTTCAAGACTTAGTGTAAGAATAAAATGAAACAGAGGCATCTGTTGAAAACTCCAGTAACCCTGTGGCAGCTGCTATTAAACCATTAACAGGATCAGGTTTCATTTAAACCAGATTTACCATTTTCTACAACAGCCCATGGGAAAGCTAAAAACATTAGGCACAAATTACTGACAAAAGAGATCCTTAATCAAGCCGTACTTTTCATTTGGCTAGTTGGCTGTGAGTAGCATTTGTGACAAGAGAATCAAAACTAAATGAGGAGGAGAAAGAGAAATGGAGTCAGAAGCCTGTTCGAACCATCACTGAGAAATAAAACGGCTCAAAGCAAATAGCAATAATTTCATCTCTGCATTTAAATTGAAAACTAGTTCTCTGGTATACTAAACTTGACTTATTCAGCCAACATCTTCAAAGTAGAAGTAAGATTTGGGCCAGTAGTGAAAGTTCTATGATTAATTTCACTGTGATGTTGGGAAGGTCAATTTTAATTTTGTATTTAAATCTGCATTTTGTATGTAAGTGTTATTTTTCTATTTAAGTTGTGTTTGAGTTCAAAGAAATAAGGATTATAAATATTTCTCTCGGGTTCAGTGAGATAGCTCAGCAGACTAAGATCTGCTTAGGCAAGCACAGGGACTGGGGTTCGATTCCCAGGACCATGAGACAGCCCCACCCCCAGGCACACTGAGCTGGTCTGGTGTGGTGACACACACCCATAATCCAGGCACTGGGAAGGCTGAAAACAGGAGGACCGCTATGAATCTGAGCTGCATAGTGACAGCCTATCCCAAGTACATAAAAAAAAATAAGTGTTTCCCTCATAGAATATTCACAATTGTCAACTTACACAATAAATATAAAAAGGTACACTGTGCATTAGTTATTTATCTATTTAGAACTTTATCTCAACTACTAAGATGACTTAATATTATAATTTAATAGAAATGAAAAGAACACATTAATGATGAAAATATGCCTGGAAAAATACAAAAAGGAAAGAAGGAAG